ACGCGATGTGCAAGAAAACCTATCCTGAACTAATAAATAAAACACAGACAAGGATATAATAAATACCCGTAGTCACTATGCTCGTTAAAAATTCTACATGATACAACTGATCACCCGTGTCGATTCGGACCTTTCATCCTACGACATGATTGAGTGACTAGAGTAATAAAAATGCATGCGACTCACGATTAAATGCGAAGAACGTTGTCATTGAATTAATTGTGAACCAGAAGTTATTGTGAAGCCCGTCATCAAATAGAAATCATTGAATTCCATGGAAGAAGTGATGACTGAAATAATATTTTATTTTAATAGTTTGTTCTTAAATAATGAAAGGTTGATTTTATCAACGCAAAATTTTAATAATAATAATCAATTCGAGAATAAAAATTTTAAACCAAATTTTATTTTTCAGCTAGTAATAATTAAATTAAAATACGAATAGAACTAACTAGAATACAAGATACAAAGGATCTTATTTGTTTAGTTTTGAAGCACAGTTCATATTATATTATATTATATTTTTTCCAGATATCAAAAAATGTGCAAATTATAAAAAACTTTTTAAAAACATATAAAATATTATTAATTTATTCTTAAAAACATACTGTTGATTGTTCAAAAAATTTAAAATAGTGAAAAGTAAAATTCTCTTCGAACTTGAGATGCTAATAAAGTCTATTAGCAATGAAAACTTGAAATATAAAAGAGAATCCAATGATCACTGAACTACGTTAGACATTTCTATTCTGTACTGCAAAATCAAAACTTCAAAATTTCGTTTCAATAAAAATTAATAATAATTCAAACAAAACGCTAGAAATAAATTGAAAGCAAGTGACTTTTTTTCAGTCTTGTCTATTTTTATCTTAGTTTTCTAACAAATTGCAAAATTACTTATAATTTTGTTATATTAATTATGTTAATACCATAAATCATTTGTTAAGAATGATTATGGATTGAATACTAAATAAATATTAACAATTATCTAGTAAGAAAATATATAAATACGTTTGCTTTAATTCGAACGTAACTATATTTGTATGAAAAGCTATGCGATTTACTATTAATCACCTTAATGACGTCTTTTGAATTTCATCGCTGAATGTTTTGAAGTTTCATAGCAATCAATAATCTGTAAAAAGAAAAACCAAAACTTTTAAATCAATCTATAAACAGAACAAACTGTACAAAATGAAACAAAAATTACAGTCAAACAAATTACAGTCTGTAAATGTAACAATCGAACAGATGATCAAACAAGAAAGAATAATTTAATTATAAAATTAGAACTAGGTTAAGACATTAATTAAAAATGGCATGACCGATGTGAGTGAACGTGCGACTTTGGAAGTACAGATTGTGTAGTTAAGAAATGTTATATGGGTTAATACAACTTAATTCCATAATTACCGACAGTGGAATAACATTTGCGCAGCAGCTTGCCTCACGAACTAATTTGTTGAAACAGAGGCCGGCCGATATTTGCAGAAAAGGATTCGATTAATTTCCTGGGAAAACAAAATGTCTTACGAAAATGTTTTCAGCAATAAGCACATCAAAATCCGTATACATTTATGCGTACATAATGATAATAATAGAATAGATTAAATTGATAAATACAAAATATAACTAAAGATAATGCTTATTTAACACGAAATACAATTATACTTTTCACCAGAAACTTTCAATATACGTACTTAACATATTCGCTTTTAACATTGATTGAACATACGTATGTATGTATAATTTTTTTAAATAATACTCACTGTTCCGAATTGCAGACATATTCGACAATGCAAAACAAGTCTAGAAACTATTGATTGTAGTCTTTGACAACTTCTGGACAACGATTCTGCTGGCTACTTGCCGCCTGAACTGATACTTCTAAGTACGTTACAATCAGACATTATAGATCGATTGCAGAAAACGGTATCGATTATAATTGAATATTGCGATATGTAATTGGCAATGAAGCAATGCTTTTTTATATTTAAATGATTGTACTCGGTTCCAATTAATGAGAAAAAACCGTTTTAATTAATAATAAAAACGAATAATTTATATTTTCATCGCAATCAAGCTACAAAATATATCTAGAATTCATATCCGACGTTTTGGAGATCACGTGATCTCGTTATCATTTTTGTGTCACACGCGATATTATCGACTCAGTGTATTTTTTATAATTTGAAATATTGAATAAATATAATGAATACGTTTCTTAATACTAATAGCCAACAGTGTATGCTGAAATAAAGTAAATAAAATAATAAATAGATAAATAAGAAAGTAAATGAAAAAAATTGGGGAAAGGAAAAAAGGTAAATATCTTAATTTTCAGTTTACATAATAAAGAGTAAATTTATACAATCAATTACAATTACAGAATTATATAAATAGTAACGACTATACGCAACATTACAAGTATTACAATATTTTTACGCGTGTAATAAAAAACATTATCTGCATTATGCTACACTTACACAGTATACTTATTAATAATATTTACAATGCTCCGAAACGAGCGGAATTTCTTCCATTTTTGTCTAAGAATATGCTTAGATCCAAAATGATTTGTGGAATCAACCATAAATTATCGAAATATTTAAAATATTAAAATTTTTAGATATGCCAACAATTTATAAAAGAATAGGATGTCTGACACAACCCACAGATATTTATGACATTATATTACTAATAATTTGACATTCAAATCACAATCAAATGTTGTCCTTAATAAACTATAACAAACTTCATATAATGTTGAATAATGGTAAGAACTGCCTAATTTTTTTTCGACAAAATTTTACACAGCATTAATCAATTCAATATTTCTTCTTTTATGTAATGTAATTAAAATGATGCTAAAATCTTAATGTAATATAAATTAAAACTTGTATGAAGTGCTACCAGAGCATCCATAATTAATTATGAGAACGCACTTCGAGTGCAAAACAGACAATTATAAAAATATTAATTGATTTTTTTCTCACATATCAAGAGACGTACTTCACGATTATTTCTAGACAAAGGCACGTTATTCAAACAGAGATTATGCGCAAGAATTAATATGGCAAGAACTGTGTTCTTGTTAAACAAGTCCCAGTAAAGAATTAACTTTTTGTTCACTTTCCTTGCAATCTTTCATATAATTAAAAAATTTCGTTGATCAATTTTTATCTTATAATTAAATTGTTTCTTCTTTTATTAGAACGTCAAAAACAATAAGGAAGAAAAATTGCAGGGAATACAATTCGTTGTTATATCGATAAAAATATTAGATTAGTATAATTGGAGTTTATACTTCGTCAAGAAATTTCTTTTCATTTCCACATATGAACATGTAACAAAATACAAATATATTCTTATATTCATAATTATAATATTGTTATATTTATATATTTGTCTCTTATAATCATTTTTTGTGCAAAAATAGTTTGTACCTTATTATTTATTTTCAATACGTATGTTTCCGTAATATTTTCGTAAATATGTATCATATCAAAAATAATAAGTTTTACTAGTTCTTCTCCTGATTACCGATATTTCGAGTTAAATTTTATTTCAAAATCATAAAAGCAATACATGAACAAAAAGAATTTTATCCACAACTTTCATTTGTAATTGAATAACTAAACAAACAAAAAATCTTTTATAATCGATTAAAAAGATACTCGAGGCAAGATTAAATGTTTTTTTTGCTATCCAATAAAGTAAATATCTTCTAAATCTTATGCATTTAATAAATTACACGTACAGTTGGAATATTTATAAATATTTTTTATATAATATGAATAAACCATATTGCTAAGAATATGCTTCTTAAGAACAATCACTATATTTTTAAAAGATTGCGATATAAAAGATCGTGACTTTATTGTGTTTTAGCCAATTATTTATATTTTTATATATTATCATACTTGTGATATTTGAAAATTAGACTTTTTTGGATGCTTTTAATACAAATCACAATAGAAGATTGTTATACTTGAAAATATATATAATTGATTGTACGAATATTTCACATGTGCGATTAATTAAAATAATATTTGAAATTTATTTAGTATATATGATAAGAATGTAAATATTTATGTAGTTCAAGAAATAATACATTTTGCAATCTAATTGTATGTCATAATATAAATTTGACAAAATCAGCAATTACAATGAACGTAAATTGATGAAAAGAAAGTATCATTATCTAGATATACCTATCCATGATCCAATAAATACCAAAAAACTTTTCCTGATCATGCTTTCCTGATTATACATTTGTCTAAAGAAACACTGGTACATGAAAAGTATGTGATCATTTCTCATCATCATTTCTCATCACTTTCTCATCATTTCAAATCATTATAGTAAGCGATCTTCAGTTTTATTACGAGAAAAAATTCAGTGTTGAGCATCTTACAAGAATGGATAGGTCTCTAACAATGTAATGCCAATAAACTATGGCTTTATATATACACACACGTTTTTTACTTTTCTTTTACCACATTTTTATCACATTCTTTCAGCTTCATTATAATACAGTTACGTTTTTAAAAAGAGAATAATAAAAACATTACAATTTTACTGCTGTTGTTTTTAAGATTTCAATGATATAATATCATATAATCCTATTCAATTACAAATTTTCGAAAATAATTTAAATTATATAATAAACTAAAATAGACAACATAGACAACATAGACAACATAGTCATTATTGTAATTCATATTCAAGAAATGTAATGAAAAAATATATCGTCAATTATAATAGATTAACATTACATTTCTTTAATTTTCAAAATGACAAATTATCTTTAGGCACTGAAATAAATTCGAAATATGTTTTATAGAATAAAATTAAATGGCACAAAATTGATATTCGTACTTTCAATTCTAATAAAATATATATGATAATAAAATTTGTAATTATACCATTGAAAATATTGTTTCTTCCCTTATTTTATCTTATTTTCACTTGTCTTTGTAAAACAAAAATTTTAATTATATAAATGTGATACACAAATGTTAACGGTAAATACGGTATTAAATCATGTATACCGTTAATACATGATTATAAAACTACTTAAATAATTGATAATATACATCTTTCTTATAAAATTCTGTATGATTCTTCTATTGGCACATGACAAATTTTTTATTTATTTAGTGAAGTTTATAAGTATACTTTTTTTTATTTACTTTTCTACGGACATTTTATAATTCTACGGACATTTTCTTGAATTTTGAAGATCAATATTTATATTGCAAAGATATACCTTTGCAATAACATACGTTAACATTTATATATTTTACAATTTGACATAAATCATTTACTGATCCCAAAGGAAAAAGTATGATATAGCTGTGTATTATTTATGCCCTTCAAAGTTCGGATTTGTCCTGCATGACTTCCTCTGAACAATTTCTGGAGGATAAATAAAATAACGTCAAAAAAATTATAAAAATATCTATGACGTGAATTTAGATAAACACCAACTCATTTTACAATTGAAAATCAAATATATTTTAAATTTTGTATTTCACATTATATTCAACAATGAATGAAATATTAAAAATACTAATTGAGTTGACAATGAATGAAATTTTAGAAATACTAACTGAGTTGATGAAGAAATATGATGAAAAAAATGTCTGATGGCTAATAATAAAATTAGAAAACATAGCGAACAAGACTGCTTTGGAGTATAAAAATCTAATTTTGTTAAATAACATTAATTAAGACAAATATTAAGCTATTATAAATGTTAACTTTTAAGACAAATATTAAGCTATTATAAATATTAATCTTTAATCAATGTTGCAGGCACTAAATAGTCACAATTATTACTATCATTTTGACAATACTTTAAAAAAAAAAAATTAGGTACTTATGAATGATCTTGGGCTTATAAAACGAAATTTGCGAACTTTTAGTATAACACAAACTACAAAGAACTGAACTTTAAATAAATTCCTCCTACAAAAACGTATATACATACAAACACTGATGCTAGCAAGCACTGATGCTAGCAGTTAAAACATATATTAAGATAGTTACAAATACAGCACTATTTTTGCAATATGTACAAATTGTGCTATATTTTATTGTAAGCTCGCTTTAACCAATATGAGTATTTTATAAATTGTAACAAATACTCATAAATTTCCGTTTAAATTTTTCTAAAGCGATAAAATTTTCACAACACATTTACATGCATTGCATTTAGTTATTCTAAACATATAACATCAGAAATTTCAATCCAGTCTTTATATTCATTAGAAACTAAATATTTTCGCATATTAGTATAAATATAAATATACTAATATGCGATATATTATTGACGTATAAAAATATTACATATATATGTAAATGTTTTTCAACAGCAAGATGAACATAAAGTGATGAGTTTAAGGCACAGAAACAATGGGTAAAGTTGATCAAACATGGTTATGCAATGATAGCAAAAAAGAAAAATTGCATTATTTCTAATATACTAATTACAACCTTCTCAATGAAGCCATACTGAGGGAACTGCATTTGGCCTTTCGTGTCGGTTGAACCGACATAGGTGCTACTAGAACATCATCTCTAGATGGCGAGCCCGAACCACCATTACCCAGCTCCTGGAAAGATACACGAATTTATCCTATACATATATACAATACCAGAAGGAATTAAAACAATATTAATCACATTGATTAAACAAAACAGTTTAAACATTCAAACATTTAATGGAGCAGAACTAATAGAAAAGAATACTATAATATAAAAAATGACTACATCATGCAAGTTCATAGGTATTATGAAGAAAAAATACTTTATACTTTTTTTCTCATTGCCAATATATTTTACAAAAAAAAAAAAGAAGAAAACAACAAAAAGGAATCCAGCCTTGTTAATCTGTATATGAAATATTTGTAAATAATAACAAAAAGAAAAGGAAAACAAAATCCCAATTGATACAAAAAAATTTAGAGCAAAGTTAACGTAATAAAAATATAAATCTTTAGCCTTTGCAGAATCCGTGTTAAGAGAATCGCCTTAATCATGAATAGCATAAAATTAAGTTTCTAATTTATGACACGAAGTATTTTAATCCAGTCGAAACACTGTGTGGCGTCACATTCCTAAAAGGAATTTTATCTATTGAAAGTAAAATTCTACTAACCCTCCTCTCTACTCCCTTTCACGAGAGGGGAAATTAAATTATTAGTATTTTCTGTACTTTCTATAGCTAAATATTAATAGGCAGTGCAATATTACATTAGCAAATATTCAATAAGACAAATGCATTATAGTATACTTACGTGATAGAGAACAAAAATTTATCCACTAATATTATATCAACATAAGAAAAAATTGTATTAAAACAAATATAACGAAAAGGACATAATAATAAACAACTGAATAGAGTAATATATTAAAATATAAAAATATCTCCGTATCTATAATATCTGCATGATGCCTTAAGATAAAGAAAACAAAAAATGAAATAATCTGTTTCAATGTTATAATACCAAATGTTCATATAATTTTGTTATAGAAATGTATACAGAAGAAAATATTATAAGCAGCGAAAAAGTTTTACAATCATGCCATTAAGAAAATTTTTATAAAAGCAATAGAAATAAGAATTGCAATTCAAAATTGAACATCATATATAAAAAGAAAAATTTGATTAAATATTAAATTTCTCCTGTCGTGAAATGAAAGTAAGTAAGGAGAAATAGAAAAAAATAGCATAAGCACATAATTAAAAAGTGCGATAATAAACTGTCAACTAACATTAATATTGTTGCAACTAGCAAGGCGCATCTGTGCAAGTTGTTGACTCGCTGGAGTAAGACTGTTGGTTGATCCAAATGGTGACATCATTGTTGACATGGCTCTTTTTAATTTGCTTGGAGTTTTATTAAAACTAAACGCTCTGCCAACTTTCATTCGCGTACGAGATGCAAACCTGAAGAAAAATGGTTGTTACAAATTTATTTAAATTTAAACATTTAGACAAAAAACAAAAGCAATATTGAAATTTCATTTTCCTTTAATAGATTTATTCAACTGAATTATTCAATGATAATGAACTAAAATAAACTTTTTCAAATAATATAATAATTTTTAATATGCAATTGAACAGAGGAAAATAAATTTTCAAATAAACAACAGAATTAGCAAACTTAATAAATAAAATCCCAAACCCAAAATAAACCAGTTCAAGTAAATATTATAATACCATAATTTCTAATAATCATGCAAAAACTGAATTATACTTCGTCAGTAATCAAACTTTTTCATGCTAAAAGATTACATCGTAGTTGTAAATCTATATTACAAATATAAATAGGGCTTAATTGTAAGGTTACAGAGTTCTTTAAATTATTAAAATTTTTTATGGCTTATAAAGTAAAAAATAGTCAAAATGCATTAATGATGCATAATTAAGAGCTGAAAGTTGAACCAATTGTAAATAAACAATGCAGAAAGTTAACCCCTTAACAACTAAAGAATAGAAACTTAATTATATAAATAATGACTATTTTGGTTACTTATTGAAAAGTAAAATTTAAGAATTTGTATTTCTCCAATGCTTACAAATAAAGTAATTTAATAAAATCATATATCATTATTCATTTTTTTCAAAGAGAACAATGAATATCTAAAATTTATAATCATTTTCATGTTTACTGTTTTTAATGTTTACTGTCACCTTTATCCTTTTTTTTCTGATAAATAAATTTTCGTAATGCATTATAACTTAATTGTTTGAGTCCAGAGGTCATTAGAAAAATCTTATCAGAAAATGCTGAGCGACGTGATAATGCTTACTTTATTTAGTCGAAAACGAAGTCTCAAATAAAAAAATTTTATTTTATATCTTATTTTATTTTTTTATGAGAAATCATCACCTATCCATTTGTACATATTATTCCGATACACTCCGTATATTAGTATTAAGTTTATAAATATTTTTATTTTTTATTAATAAAATAAAAATAACTGAAAATAATCACAACCAGCAACAAAATGTATTACTTATATGGTTTATATGAAAAGAAGTAATGATGCAACGAATAAGTATTAGCAAAGTTGGGAGTACTAACTTCGGCCAAACGCATCGACAATTGTACATCGCAATCAGATGTACGTAATTGATATTTTCGACATTATAATAGTCTAAATATAAAGTCATCAAGGGGTCAAAAAAATAGTTATTAAATATTTTAATCATGTATTAATGATTTTAAACAGGCTGATAATATTCAACATTACGCTTGAACTGGTCAAATTTTTCGTGAAGTTATTGAATTTTGAGATTAATTTATTTAAACAAGCAGGGAACAAAAGACCAAAGCAAATAAAAAAAAAGATAATCAGCCTGGTGCGAAAACTGACGGTAGTGGGACATGTAATGTGGTTTCACACATGCTATTGAGTAGGAACACATACGGGTCCATATACTCCAGGTAAAAATTATGAAATAGGCTCCTGCAACCAAACGAGTCGTCGCCCCATTATTTTTTGTTAACATGCAATACAGGAGAAAAACAGTTTAGAACACCTGATAAATCTTTCTTTCATAAATATTTCCATAGAAATGTCTACTTTATCAAATAAATTCATATAAATTTTTTTATAGTATATAATATAAATATAAAAAAACGCAAAAATCTTATTTAGATCTTTTCACATATTAAATCTTACTATACTACTATATACTAAATCTTACTAACTATTACATATTAGATCTTATTTTCATATACTAAATATCAATATACTAAAAAGACTCGTGTGTGTATGTGTGTGCGTGTGTGTGCGCGCGCTAAATTCAGCAAAACTTATTAGCAATGCAAAAAAGTATATTGTAAGCTAAGCTATTCTAAGAGCAGTTCTAGTACTAATTAATTATTTATTCTTCTTACATTTAATAAATTTCTTTGACCTATTTAAATGGAAAAATCACTTTTTTTAAATGTTTCTCTACAAAACTGATTATTATCATTTCTGTAAAAGTTATTTTTATCTTAAGTAATATTTAATATATAATATAATTTTTTATATTATACATTATTATATGTATAATAAATTATATCTTACAGTTATTAGAGAGATACAATCATTTGCAATATTAATAACAGACACCAAGTTTACTTACTTAAATGCTTTACTTAATGTTCCTAATGCTACATCGCTTGTATCAATTTCAAGTTGATGCGAATCAAGACTTATGAGGAACGTATCCTACAAATTAAAAAATAAAAATACTATTGCTAATAAGCTGTAAGCAATAATATTATATAAATAAAAATCAGAATTTGTTAAATTATTTACAAAATACTTTACAAAATAAAGATTGAAACTTACCGCATCAGCTTTACACACTGTATTAGCCATTTGTCTACACAAGGTCCGTAGATAATTTGTCTTATTTACTTCTTCATCAGTAATTGTAAATGAAAACAATTTTTCTTTTAACTCTTGATTACTTCTCACCATTAAAGCGAACACTTTATGGCATTCTATGAATATATAAAGCAAGAAATATATTTTTTATATTTGTTCTATATATTATATTTTATTTAACCAAGAAAGAAATATTAAACTTACAAATATAAATCTTTACAT